TATATATATATATATATATATATATATATATATATATATACATACATTACATTACATTACATGGGGCGGCTGTGGCTGAGTGGTTAGAGCAGCCGTCTAGGTGAGCAACCTTTCTGACCATCTAAGGATACCCCAGATTACAGAAAGTTTTAAGAAATGACTGAAAACCTTTTTATTTAAAATATTTTATAGTGTTTAAAGGTATTTTTAATCCTGCAGGGTTTTTTTTTGTTTGTTTGTTTTTTAGCTTTTAAAATTTTTAGTCCTTTTTAGTCCATGTTTTATTCTCTTTAGATATTTTATATTGTAGCAATTTGAGGGTGTAAAATGTAAAGTGCAGTACAAATTGAATAAATTATTAATTATTATTATTATTATTGTCATTCACATCACATGTGGTACATGAGGTGAAATTGTGTACACAGGGTCCCAGTTACATCCATCCATTATCTTTTACCCGCTTCTTCCATTTTGGGTCACGGGGGTCGCCGGTGCCCATGTCCAGCAAGAGACGAACGAGACAACCATTCTCTCTCACTCACACCTAGGGACAATTTAGAGTTACCAATCAGACTAACATGCATGTTTTTGGTCTGTGGGAGGAAACCGGCGTACCCGGAGAAAACCCACGCATGCATGGAGAGAACATGCAAACTTCACCCAGAAAGGCCCCTGGACCGGGATTTGAACCAAGGACCTGCTCGCTGAGAGGCAGCAGCTCTACCAGTTGTGCCACTGTGCTACAAGACAAATTTCCATTTCACTGAATGTTGTGGACAATAAAGTTGAATTGATTGGTTGGTTGGTTGGTTGGTTGGTTGGTTGGTTAGCAGATCTGTGTCAATTTTTTATTAATTATTATTTATCCCTGTTGTGGTTTTATGATCTGGATGTTCTAATCCCTCTAGAATTTACAGAAACTAAATTGAGACTCAAGACAGGTTTGAAATTTCACTTCACCACTTGGTCTTGCCAAGATCGGGCACTTCTCCCCTCTCTCTCCGCTTTGCTTTGCTGCTCTGTCTTTCTGTGAAACTGCTTCTGAGCCTCTCTTGCATTTCGTCCGAACCATAATTATGGACTTGTTTTGATCAGTTGGTCCCTAAACTCAATTTACAACATTTCTTCGAAGAGAATACAGCCTTTAGGCGAGCCGATTTGCCCTGTTGGCCCGCACGCAGCTGGATATCTCATCGACTGGAAGACTTGATGATGTGTCTATCTCTGCTGCCATTTGTGGATTTTAAGGACGCATATTTAATTGGATTTACGATAACTGGTTCCTGCTTTTTGGATTCGTCTGGTTTTATCTACAATCAAGGAAGTCGTCGGCAGCAAAATTGGACCCGATCACTCTGCTTGCCTTTATGATAGCTTGGTTCGTGCCTCGAGTACCCAGACTCAAATGCTTTGGGCTGAATGGATCACATCTTGGGGATTTTACTCAGTTACGTTCCATCAGTGTGGCCATGTAATTTGAACATTTCAGAACCGAGTGGACCAACACAAACTCAAGGTAGATGTCATTAAGTTCTGCCTGTCCCCAAAACAACTGTGTGTTTATCTGAATTTGTCTCCCTTGGCTGGCCTTGAAGGCCATCTTATCTGAATTTGCCTGGAGAACATGTGATCTGACGCCGACCACCCCCTCCCTGAGGAATTTCCAACTGATAACCAGATGAAACCAGCTGAATAAACATTGTGTCATCATTTCAGGACTCTTGGATTCTCATAGTCGTTATTCTTGGCCATTCCTTGACATACTTCGAGAATGTTTATGGACCTCATCGGAGGACAATGGCTGATTACATTCTTATCAGAACTCTTACAGTGACCTCGAGAGCATCTACGAACATTGCTCACCACTCTTGTCATCTCCCTCTGCAGAATGTCTACGTCACTATGTGCTTGTTTGTGCGAGGTGTTTTTTAATATTAGTTTATTTCTTCTCAGGCAGGAAAAAAAAAGTCTGATAGTAATTTTTTCGCCTCCAATTTCCTACTTGTCCAGTTTCACTACTTTTTCTCTGTCTAAACAGATCTCACTTGTAAATGAGTCTTCTAGGCTCAATGTGACTTATCTGTCTAAATAAAGGTTGAATGAATGAATGAAATGGGTTTGAGTCCAATTATTACGAGAAATAAATGAATGTGCGTATTGTGTTTTTACATGTTCTAAATTCAAGTGAGTCTGTGACACGTGAAAAAAATGAAAATCCTGCAAATGTTTTGAAACATTTTGGAGACTCCCTCACAAACACCATAGTCGCCAACAGTCGCATCCCAGTGAAATACTGACTTAACAGGTGTTGCCAAGCACTTGTGTCAATAGTGTATCTAGCAGTGTGTACATTAGCATAATATTCCTATGCACTCAACACCATCAGTAAAAGTGGTAACAAGTTTTGTTCAGAATGACAGATCAGCTCCGGTCTCGTTCAGCTTCCTGCTCTTAGTTTTTCTGTCCCTCTGAGACTTTCTCCACTTCAACGTTCTCTCTTTTTAAATCTTACCTTGTAAAATGTTTCAAAGTTCTTCTGATTATCAATTCCAGTGATAAAAACACTGCTGTGCACATCTGCAAAGTGAAAGAAAAAAACGCTTTTACTGTTGATTTAAATGATTTAAAGTAGACTTTAATGAAACTGAAGGATTTGTAAGATTTAGCTGAGACAGAAGTCATCCTTAAGTTAAATATATATTTTACTTCAAATAAATTGAAATCATCTTACAATTATACAGGAACATTAGAAACAGGTTTATTACAGCCTCATTATTCTAATAAGTTTTTAATAAGTTAAGTTAATATTGTTTTTTTGTTTTTTTAAGTATTGTTGTTTTTAGGATGTTAGATCCTTGGTTGAACTGAAAATGGTATAAAGGTTCCACAATTATTGTTTAATTCAAATTTGTAGATTTTTTAAATGTTTTTACTTTGAGATGATTTGACTTTGCTACTATGCTTTGCTTGATGGTTTTGCTTTGCTGTATTACTGCTTTACTCTGTTTCATTTTTATTTTTATCAAAGCATAAGAATTAGTTGCATGTCAAATCCAAGATGTCTGCCACCTTCTATGTGTATATGTATAGAGGGTGAGCAGCATAACTTGAAAATAGGCAACGTGCCAACTTCCATTTTGGTGCGTGGCTGATCTAAGTGTAAGAAACGTAATCGAAAATTGGGTTACTAATTTAAAATCCAAGATGGCCGACACTACATAAATAATCCACCACCCCAATTATTTGAGGAAATTGTGCTTTCTAGTTTTTATATTTATCAGTTTCCTCAAATGATTGGGTCAAAAATAACCAACATGTCAGGGCCCTTGAGCAAGGTCCTTAACCCCCATCATCTGCTCCTCTGGTCTCTAGATAGCAGCTCTCTGCTCCACACAGAGGGCTGCGGGAGCTCTGTGGTCTGTGGTTGTGTCAGGAAGGACATCCAGTGTAAAAACAATCACCATATCTTCGTAGGACTTAGTTCGATGTGGCGACCTCTGAAGAAGGGGACAGCCGTAAGAAGAAGAAGTTTACAGGCTGGGAGATGAAGGTGGTAGTTGAGAGTTTTTGTGCTGGTTCCCTTACATCGTGTGCTGCTAGTGAAAGGTCTTTCCACTTTCTGTGCGCCGTCACAAATGTCTAGGTGAATTTTTGTTTTGTTTGGATCCAACTGTTTTTAGTTGACTAACCACTGAAAAGCCTCAGCTGTCATCCATCCATCCATTATCTTTTACCTGCTTCTTCCTTTTTGGGTTGCGGGTACTGTGTGAGAGGCAGGGGACACCCTGGACAGGTCTCCAGTCCATCACAGGGACACGTAGAGACAAACGAGACAAACAACCATTCACTCTCTCACTCACACCTAGAGATAATTTAGAGTTACCAGTCAGTCTAACATGCATGTTTTTGGTCTGTGGGAGGAAACCGGAGTACCTGGAGAAAACTCACACATGCATGGAGGGAACATGCAAACTCCACCCAGAATGACCCCCCAGCCAGGATTCGATCCGGCAACTTTCTCGCTGAGAGGCAACAGTTCTACCAACAGAGCCACCGTGCCACTTGGTAAATAAACAATAAACACTGCTTCCATTATTTAAATATTTTAGATTAATATGTTTTTAATCAAGGCAGCACGGTGGCGCAACTGGTAGAGCTGCTGCCTCTCAGCGAGCAGGTCCCTGGTTCAAACCCCGGTCCAGGGGCCTTTCTGGGTGGAGTTTGCATGTTCTCTCCGTGCATGCGTGGGCTTTCTCCGGGTACTCCGGTTTCCTCCCACAGACCAAAAACATGCATGTTAGGCTGATTGGTAACTCTAAATTGTCCCTAGGTGTGAGTGAGAGAGTGAATGGTTGTTTGTCTCTATGTGTCCCTGTGATGGACTTGCGACCCGTCCAGGGTGTACCCCGCCCCTCTCACAGTGATTGCTGGACATGGGCACCAGCGACCCCCGTGACCCAAAATGGAATAAACGGGTAAAGAAAATGGATGGATGGATGTTTTTAATCAAATTACTATTTGTATCTTTGGACCACCGTCCTTTGTGTCATCTGTAGAATGAACCTGAGTGACTTTTGGAATTAGATATTATTTCTTAGGGTGAGATTCCCAACGTGTCGTTGTTGCAACTTATAAACTTAAAAATAATAACTTATAACCCCCCAAGCTGCCACATGGGACTTGATTAATATATTATGTAACTTCATTAAATGACTCAGCTAATCTGGAGAAATACAGTAATTCAATGGATAAAGCAGAAAAGGCAATACTTAATGACTTTAATAGACCATCTATTGTGTAAGACTGATTTGGAAAGGGGGCAACACAGTGGTTCTGTTGCCTCTCAGCAAGCAGGTTGCCCTGGTTCAAATCCCAGCCGGGGGACTTTCTGGGTGGTTTGTATGTTCTCTCTGTGCATGCATGGGTTTCCTATGGGTACTCTGGTTTCCTCCCACAGACCAAAAACATGCATGTTAGGCTGATTGATAACTCTAAATTGTCTCTAGGTGTGAGTGAGAGAGCGAATGGTTGGTTGTCTTGTTTGTCTCTATGTGTCCCTGTGATGGACTGAGGCCCAGGAGCTGCTACAACCAGGCTCGGGAGCTGCTACAACCTGGCCCTGGAGCTACTGCCGTGGCTACTGTGACTGGCTTCAACTACCAGCTCCAACTAGCAGGCCTAAAAATTAGCCAAGGCACCCTAGACTCACATCTAGCCACTAAGAAGACATGAGAGCATAACGGCAGGACTCAAACACACCTGCAAGTGAGGAACTGGTAGAAGAGAGCTAAAGATTGGGATTTATGTTGTTTGTGCTTCAAGCTACTGTTGAGAACAGCAGCTAACCCACCAGGCCTCTCCAGTGTTAACAGAAATGAAGGATTAGGAACCAATGCAGCAAAAAGGCCCCGAAAGAGCTCCCTCGGCAGAGGAGATGGAAGATATCAAGAAATCCCTAGACTTTCTGGGTGAAGAACTCTCATCCATCAGGTCACAACAAAGAAATATCCTTGATCTGGTCTAGGAGGTAAAAGCTCTACAATTACAGAACAGAGAAGGATAAATTATTACCTTTCTTGAGAATCGTGTTGCTGACTTAGAGCAATATACCCATATTAACTACATAATTGTGACCAGGCTGCAAATAAAACCACGGTCATATGCACGGGCTGTGTCAGGAGGAGAGGATCAAAGCGAGGAGACTTCAAACTCTATAGAGCAGCAGGGGACAACTTTTCTCCGCTCCAAGAGAATAGAGGTAAACAACAAAAGCATTGAATCACGTCACACCCTCCCATGGAAGAACACAGGAAAAACAGCTTTTACAATAAGATTTGCTAACAGAAAGCATAAAATGGAACAATTTAAACAAGGGAGTAAACTAAAGGGATTGGATGTCTATCTGAAAGAACATTTGACAAAAAAAAGCTGACATATCAAGAAAGGCATGATTACTCAGAAAACAAGGAAAAATACAGAATACTTGGACATATAACTGTAAAATATTAATCAAACTGAAAGGAACCCCTGACGAGGCCAAGGTTGTGGTCATTTGAGACATTGGGGAACTGGAAAAATACTGAAGTAAACCGAACATAAGGAAATGATCCGACTTGTATTGACTGGAACTGAGTGTAATTATGAGAAATCAACTAACAGAAGAACTGGACACCTTCTGGACACACGTGTATATATGGACACAACTGGACACTCTGAACATAAAGCAGTGGATTTAGAAAACAATACTGATCTATGGTGGAGATGTATTTTTAAAATTTGAATACTTTCGAAGACTTAAGAGTTAAAAAAAAAAAAACACAATGTGAAGAGTTTGGTTGATACAAATCTTTTTTTCAGAAACCAAAGATTGTGAATATTATAATGAGGAGCAATTTAATGACATTAAAATAGCGAGCGGAGGTTTCTCTATCATTCATTTTAATAGTAGAAGTATAAATACAAGTTTATCAAAAATAACAGACTATTTAAAACTATTGAACATAAGTTTTAGTATAATAGCAGTTTCACAGACCTGGTTAAATGATGAAAATATAAATACATTTCAAATAGAAGGATATGGATTATATTATATGAATAGATGTAATAAAAAGGTGGGGGAGTTGCTTTATTTATTAATGCAGAAATTAAATGCAAAATTAAGGACAAAATATCAATAGTTCAAGATGTAATGGAAATAATTATGGTTGAGATATTAAATGAGAATTGGTTGTGTCTATAGATCACCAGGTTCAAATATAGAGCGATTTACTGATAAAAGTATGGAGCTTTTGTATGGAGATCTTGGTCCTGCTCAATCTAACCATGAGCCTTTCAGTTTGGTTGGGATTAAACTGTTTCTCCAAACTGAGGCGCTACACAATGCTGTTTACAACTGGTAAGATGTATTTGTTCATTATCTTTCACCTAAACCACACTTCAAAAGATCTTTAATACATAACACCAAATGTGTATTAGAAAAAAGATGTTCAAAAAGTTACGAACCAAAGTTTACACTGTTGCGTTTAGCTCAAAAATTTTTTAACTTTAAAAAAAATGTAAAAGTGCTATACCTTAAAGCTCAATATAAATCTTTGCATTACCTAAGTATTCAATAAAAATCAATTTGTAACTCTTGTACCTGTTGGGCCATCTCTGGAAAAGCCCAGGTTGACTTTCCCACCTGTCCCCTCAGCAACCGAGCTGCTCCCAAACACTGACTGGTTGAACCTGCAAAAGCTGAGGAGACCAGTCACATGATGGGACAAATAACTTTTAGCTGACAAATGGCAGAATCACATTCTCAGAGGCCACGCTGTGGTGAGCAGACAATGTTCTGTTCCCACTGAGCTGCAGTTCCTGTATTGTTTTTAGCAGAAAGTACTTTGACAGATATGAGCGTCATCTTTTTTCACTCAGTGCCAACTAGAGTCCTCAGCTTTGAATCTTTTATAAACTCTATGAAAAATGTTTAATATGCAAGCTTTAAATTTAAACTTTAAATTGTTTGAATCAGAAAGAACTTGTTATAAATCATGAGGACAAATTATTGTGCGTGATTTCAAGTTCATGTCTTTGATTTTCCTGCATCAACAAACGTCTATCCTTTCCCAGAAATCAGTTTGAAGAATTAATGAAGATTCATCTTGAGTCTTTAAACATGTGGAGCTAAGTGAAGCTCACATATTTTGCAAGGAAGACATGTTTCCCTAAAGCTCCACTGTTGATGTAAAAGCTCTGTCTGGAATTTGAATAAACAATCTGTTGGACACCTGGCAGGGTCCAATGCTGACATGTTCCTGTTGTTAGTTTTCTACATTTGTCTTGGAATCTAGCTGGTTTTTTTTTTGTTTTGTTACCTTTTCCTTTTAGCCATCCTATTTGTTAAAAAAAAAAAATAGTATGCTTTTTTTATAACTGTTTATAAATTAAATTATAATATTTAATTATTTTAATATAATATAATAATAATATTTTAATTATTATAATTATAATAAATAATTATAATAAAACTGTTGCTATTGTCCATTGTTGTCATCTTTCTTTGTTGAAATCAGGTCTCTCTTGTAAATGAGTCCTCGAGGCTCAATGGGAATTACCTGTATAAATAAAGGTTGATTGATTGATTTTTCCTCTAAAACTTTCGTCATTAAGCAAAAAGTACCAACAAGAATAAGAACACTTAAATCTTACCTCATCACTTCCTGAGTGGCTTTATCTGAAACTGAAAAAAAAAGGTATGATCAAATCTATTATGAGGCATCAGCTGCTACAGTAACTTTAGTATTCTCTGTGCATTGGCCACATAACCACTGGGCTGGCTCACTGTGTATCCAGCACAGCAGTAAGAAAGCTGTAAATGTCCTGCTGGTTATGTGCTCTGAGCTCTGCACTATTATTGTGGCCTCCAGTCATCTTGCAACTCAACAGCAGCAAAAAAATTGAGCTGAGCATTAATGAATTTTGTAACAGAGTTTCATAGCTGTCTTTTTTTCAAAGCTCCAAGTGACAAAAGTGCAACAGTGCTGCAGTTTTGCAGACGGCGCTCACCCTAAGAGAGAGACACTTTAAGAAAGATTAAAATAAATCTCTTCTTTCTATTTCAGCCTGAATTATCATGTTAGCCAAAGTCTTGTGTGGTTACTGTCTTTTCTCGTAATTGGGAATGCATCGCTCCCCACTGAAGAGGGTATTAGAGGTGTTTTGTGACTTGGAAGCATGCCACAATCCCTGACATGAAACATCCAGCTTGAAACCAGGCGCACAATTAGCAGTAGTGCAGAATGTGTCACAAAGATTAGACTGACTTAAATGGGTGAGTCAGGAATACTATCACACAGAAACATGTATTCTTCCTCTGTTAGAATAAGAATCCCCTGAGAAATGGTCTTTACTTCCTCTAGGCTTCAACTATGTGGGGCAGTCCTTAAAGGGCAACAGGTTGTATAAATGCACAGAACATATAAACATTATAATTATTCTCTACTTGTTTATGTATGTGTAGGTTTAATGATAAGAAGGAATAAGGCTAACAATAGCTTTAATTAAGAGCATCTACCAATGGTTTGGTTGACTGAAGAACAAAGCAGACCACTCAATACAAGAAAGAATCATGACATTTCCTTAATATTTGTGTTCTGAACCTCAAAATCCCTAACATTGGTGACAGATGGGATATTTAAAGACACTGATTTTAATTTGATGAACAGCACGACTGTAGATTTCGTAGCATTTAAACAAGTTTAAAATCCACATATTGCACTGAATGATATTGAGTTATTGGAGCTGATGAAGCACCTGATAAAAGTATGACTGCAACAGAGAATGTCCATTTATCTTCAACAGACAAAAAAGCTGGGTCTTAGTATTTAATACTTCTTGATTAAGACTACTGCTATGTAATACTTTCTGAGTTCCCAAAGAGATCTGTTTGAGACAAATGTGCAAACTATAATCTAACTGAAAACAATGAAATGCAACCATTCATTGAACAAAATAAATAACTGACACAGTTTTACTTTTTTAATACATATGAAATCACTGTATAAAGATGAATTGTCGAATATGTTGAAATATGATATGATATATATCTTATATATTAGATTATTGGTGCAGAGAGTGGTGAAGGCTGCACGGAACACTGTTGGAGTTAGCCTCCCCACCATCACAGACATCTACACCTCCAGATGCAGGAAGAGGGTCACCTGCATCATGAAGGATCCCACTCACCCAGCACACACACTTTTTGCCCCGCTCCCCTCAGGCTGGAGGTTAAGGTAAGTGTAGAACCACTAGACTGAGGAACAGCTTCTACCCTTAGGTTGTTAGACTCATGAATCTCTAACCAGAATAGTCACTGTGAAGAACCAGATCATGTTGCTGCTGATCTGTTTCATGTTGCTGCTGATCTGTTTCATGCTGCTGTGTTCATTCATTCATTAATCTGTGCTTGCTCAGGATGGGAGACTGAAACGAAGCCAAGATTCAACTTGTCTGCTGGATTCCTTAGATAGAGAACTTTACTAGTTGGCTTTTATGTTTGTGAATGTTCCTGTAAAGTGCCCTGAGACAATTTTATTGTGATTTGGCGCTATATAAATAAACTGAATTGAATTGAATTGAATTGAATTGAAATTCGTGCTCATCTACTCACACAGACTCATGTTCATGCTGCTGTTCAGTGTATTGTTTTTATGCTTTTAGTGCTTAGCCTATATTTAGTTGATGTTTTTCTTAGTTCATATCTTAGATCTTATTACTGTTTTTCTTTTACATTTTATTGTTGGGTGTAACTAGGACCCTGTGTATGCAATTTCATTCCATCGTACCACATGTGGTGCGAATGACAAATAAAGAAACTGACTCTGGTAAATAGTTTTTTTTAAATCAGCCACTTGGGAGCATAGGCCAGTGAAAGTCTTGTGCCTGTCCCAAGCTGGGTTAAAATGGTAAGGGTTATGTTAGGAAGGGCATGCAGCTTAAAACACTTTGCCAAAACAAACATGAGCATTAGCGGGTGCAGTAGCTTGGTGGTCAGTGCTAGGATCTTGACTGGTTGCCTAAGGACAGGTATCTATTATAGCAGTAGTAATTATTATTAGACCTTTATTTATACAGGTTAGTTCCCACTGAGCCTCGAAGACTCATTTACAAGAGAGACCTGTTATGTGATTAGTTTGTTATTTAAACTAACTAACTAGCCATTCTGGGAGAAATGATGATTGGATCAGGACCTTGTGATTCTCATTACAATACAATACAATACAATACAAAAATACTTTATTAATCCCAGAGAGAAATTATTTGTTGTTTTAGCTTGTTATCCTCATTTCATTGAGATGTTATATATAGTGATGGTTGTAAACAGGAAGGATCTCTTGTAAAGATCCATCCCACAGTGGATCCTCAGAAACTGGCTGTAGATGCCGTCCGATCCGTCCACCCAGACTCGGATGGCCTCCAGGCTGTAGGACCACCTGAATGTCGGGCAGAACTCCTCCCAGAGCGATGGTCACTCCTCCCAGCAGCTACTGAGCTCCTCGTCGCTGCGGACAGCCGGCTGTAGGTGCTGAGGGACGATCCTGTCGTTCCGCTGTCGTGAGCCATGTTTCCTGCTAGTTCCAGGATCTCAGTGGTCAGGCACTTGAGCACAGCTGGCAGGTAGATGAGAAGGCGTCCACATACCATCCTTTCAACTCATTTGAGATTTGGGGCTGTAGTTGAGATATTATTTGAGCTTTTGAGATGTTAATCAGCTGCTGTTGCTTGTAGAAAACTGCCTTGTTGCCATGGTTACGCATCATAACAAATGTCCAAAACTAAAAAAGTTTCAGTAAAAATCCTTCCAACTGCACAGCATCCGATACCAGAGGAAACAATCATCCAAAAAATGTGACTTACATCGAGAAAAAGAGGAATTAAAGTTTCCAAAAGCAAAATCTTAGAATGAATGTAACAGCTGCTCCAACATGCAGCCACTTTGAGCAGTTACATTATTTTATTATTATTATAGTAATTCAGTTCAATTACACTCTTCCTCCTGATCTGTTTGCATCCTCTTGCATAGCAAACTGTTAACATGTTCAAGGTTACAGCTTTCCCACATGAAGCAGGATTGGGACACTGCCTCTTTGTTTTCACCAAAACTGTGTCCTAGTTGTTGAAGTTTTCATTCTCGTCATGAGACTCCATGGAAAAACAAGGAGTTTCTGCACGTTTCCCCTCCATTCATAAATTTTAGTGAAATATAAACAAATCTTTAACAAACTGGAGATTCTTAAAATCTCAGATGTTGGTGTATCCTTTTAGACTTGAGATTAAAAAGTTTGTCACAAACAATGATGTAACCCATTTTGCAACCTATTTCATGCACGCCCACTAACACATGGTGCCTGGATTTTAATTTGTTGTAAATATGGATGTTCAAACATAGTGGCACAGCATGGGTAATTCAGTTTTTATTCAACAACAACAACAAAAAACTAATTAGGAAAATAAATACTTTGAATAATATTCAATATTCAATCTTAAGAGAAGTGTAGACAAGGCCCAAGCTTTTTCCTGTTTGGTTTTCATTTTATTTATGTATTTGAATCCTCAGCAATCTTAAAACTTGTTTCAAACTCTGTTAAGAACCAAGAATGCTGTCCTCTCAAGGTGGCAAGAACAAAAATAAACTTTGCTTGGGCCAAGATATTTCATGATTCACAAAAAACTCAAGTGAAAAACCTCTGGAGTGTACTCATAGGGTCAAAAGCAAGAATATCAAATTGTCCATGTTTCTGCATTAACCACGCCTACCTCAGATTTCTGATTATTTATTTAATAGTTGTTGAAGGCTACTCAAGAAAAAAATCTGCCCAGATGATTTGCCAGAAAAAAACTCCCAAACCAGGGCTTCAGAGAAAAAAACTGTCAACAGAGAACAACTTTTGAGGTTTCTGCAGAGTGTGTAGCAACCAGCAACCTTCACAATGAGCTCCTTTACACCTGTTTCTCATCTGCTATCAGCTCACCTACCTGTCATTTTGTAATCGATGTTCCAAGTAAAAATAATAGCTGTGTTCATTGTCAGATCCTTCTACTTAATTACACCGCTCACTGTGTTGTTTCTTGTTCATAGGTTTGCCTTGGATTATTTTAAGATTAAATTTTCTAATCTTCATCTTGATCTACCTTGTGTGCATTTGCATAGTAGTTCTTCTAACTTTAAATCACCTTTATTAAAAAAAATGCTAAATGCAGTGTAAAACTTTAGAAACCTTTGTTTATCTGTAAATACTGCCACCATCATCCCAGTCCCAAAGAGCTCTACAGTGACTGGTCTGAATGACTATCGGCCAGTGGCCCTCACCCCGATAGTCACTAAATGCTTTGAAAAACTGGTCATGACCCACATCAAAACAACCATCAACATCAACGAGGACCCTCATCAGTATGCATACCACGAGAACTGATCAACAGAGGATGCCATCTCCTCTGTGGTCCACACTGCGCTTTTTAACCAGTACAGGCAAAAGAGAGCACATTACACCAGTTTTGGCCTCACTGTACTGGTTACCGGTTCACTTTCGAATCCAGTTCAAAATACTCATGTATGTCTACAAATCACTGAACAGTGTCGCCTCCCCCCATCTCTCTGATTTGCTACAACCATATGTCCCACCACGCTCCCTGAGGTCAGCGGACCAGTTGCTCCTCACAGTTCCAGGAACTCGTCTTAAGCGCAGAGGTGACAGGGCCTTCTCTGTAGCAGGACCAAGACTCTGGAACGAGTTACCTCTGCTTGTCAGACAGGCCCCCTCCATCTCGGTTTTCAAGTCCCGTTTAAAAACTCACTACTATTCAGTAGCTTTCAACACCAGATGTTCTGTGTTTTGATCCTGTATGCTCCACACTGGTTTGTCGTCATTATCTGCATCGTTTTTATGTCTATATTCTGATTTACCTCATTTTGTATTTTGCTTTGTGTGTTACCTGTTGTTTTGTCTGTACAGCACTTTGGTTGGCTTTGTAGCTGTTTTAAGTGCTCTATAAATAAAGTGGTATGGTATGGTATGGTATGGTATGGTATGGTATGGTATGGTATGGTATGGTATGGTATGGTGTGGTGTGGTATGGTAACCACCTGGAGCAGAAAGACTCTTAGTCCGTATGCTCTTTGTGGACTTCACATCTGTCTTCAACACATGATCCCCCAAATCCTGATGGACAAACTACTCACACTAGGACTAAGCCCCTCCATTTGCAACTGGGTACTAGACTTCTTAACAAACAGACCATAGTCAGTGAGGATCCACAACTTCTCTTCCACCATAACCCTCAGCAATGGCTCCCCTCAGGGATGTGTGTTGAGCCCTCTCCTGTTCACTCTGCTCACGTATGATTGTGCATTTACCCATCCAGGCTGTCATATTGTAAAATTTGCAGATGATACAGCGGTGGTGGGATGCATCACAAACAATGATGAGTCCAGCTACAGGCAAGAGGTGGAACACCTGGAGAGCTGGTGCAAAGAGAATAACCTTCACATCAATGTGAAAAAGACAAAGGAGATGATTGTGGACTTCAGAAGGAACAAACACACCTACCCCCCAGAACATAAGAGGATCTGTGGTGGAAGTGGTCTCCAGCTACAAGTACTTGGGTGTACACATGAATGACAACCTCAGCTGGAGCAACAACACCACCAGCCTGATCAAGAAAGCTCATCAGAGACTTTACTTCCTCAGACTGAGACGAGCTGGTCTGGGAAGTGCCAAAAAATGTGGAATTAGCTGGAAAGGCTAAAATTAGCATTAAAAACAGCTAAATAGTAGCTGAAATAGCAGAAAAATCTGAAACTTGCAGAAAGGAGCTAAACAGAGCATAATAGGCTGAAATTAGAAGAGAGAAGTTGCAAGAAGCACAACAATGTTTTAGGTAGCAGCAAGAATCAAAGAGGAGCACAAAACAGCTGAAAGTAGCTGAAAAAAGTTAAAATGTTCACAAGGACGCTGAAAGAAGCTGAAGCAGAACAAAATGTTAAAGGAGCAGTAAAAGGTTATAAACAGATCTAAAGATCTGAAGGATGTAAAATGAGCTCAATTCATTTTCTATGAGAAAAAAATAGCAGAAAAGGCTAAATATTTCAAAAAGCTAAAGTTGCACCAATACCAAAAGTCACAGCAGGATTGTTCTGAACGAGCTGAACGTTTTGATTTATGATTTGTTGAAATGGCACAAAAACTGTGGAATGAGAAAGATGCTGAAAAACATAAGAAAAATGGATCACAGCAGTGTGAATACTTTACATTTACTTTAATGCTTACACAACATCTTCAACTTTAAAAGATGTGTATGTGAAGACACATTTTACTTTGAATATCTTAGTAAGCATTAGTAAAGAATAGTTCTGTTTTAATCATCTAAAAGACAATGAAAAACATTAGGACTACTATGCAAAAGTCCTGATGCATGATCTGGACAGGTTCTTCTTTGTTGAACAATTTTGTCTTTCATCAGAAAGAATGAAGCAGTTTCAACAAAGGAGAATCCTTCCAGAGGACCTGACTCGGCCTTGTTGGAAGTCCCATGCAGAAGCTCAAGAACTTTAAGATTTTTAATGTTTCTTATAAAAATATCAAGCCTAAATTATCACCCAAGAAAAATGAGTCTTACATATTTTTTACAGGGAAATGCTATTTGATGAAAACTGGAAAGCTAAACTTACAAAAAGAGAACGAAAAAACTAAGTCCAGATGACATGATTCAACCTTTTTTGTTGTTATATACCTGGATGACTGAGAAAACAAACTTTGTGTTTTACAAAAAGAGAATTTGTGCTTGGTTGATTCTTCTAGGATTTGAGAGTAGAGAGGATAGAATGCAGTCCTGAATTCATCCCCATTGAACACCTGTGGGATCAGCTCGGGGGTGCTGTTCATTGTGACCAGCAAAACCACATTGACCGACTTTAGACAAATACTGGTTGAAGAATAGGATGCCATAGTTCAACAATGTGTGGCCAAGCTGGTGAACAGCATGAGGAGGAGGTGCAAAGCATTAGTGGCTGTAAATGGTTCTTCCCCATGATACCGACACAAATTGATTTTTTTTTTTTTTCTGATATTATCAAGTCAAGGTTCTTTATTGTTATTCGCATCACATGTGGTACATGAGGTGGAACAAAATGGTGTACACAGGGTCCCAATATAAATACCACTTAAATTTGTCCAGGCAATCAGTTAAACAAATGCTCAGAAAACTAACTGAATATACGTTTAGACCTCGAGGTGATTTATTTTAGTTGTTTTTGATTTTGTGATTAAATTACCAATGTGGATTAAGAATTTTAAATAAAACTTGTGTTTAACAGCAAAAAACTGTAACAAATATTTTAACAGTTCTTTGAAGCACTTTAAAAAAACATTAAAATTATAAATACAAAGAGAAGCACATTGCCCCCCCGATAAAAGTCCTCTAATCTTTTGTGCAACAGATGTTAGGTAATAAGAATAATTTTTTATAAACATTTTTATTACAACTTGTGTTTCAGTCTAGTCACTTTTAACTTCTTTTTTTTTTTCTATTTATTTTAACACTCAGATTTTCAACTCTGCAGTCACACACAAATACCTCTAACAGTTTTTTGGCTGCCATTTCCCGACGAGCTCCGTGTTCTGCTGACTACTAAAGTTCTGCTTTTGTCAGAAGGGATATATTGTGCCCTTGTTGCCAAGCCACACTGCGCAGCCTTCCATGCACCTCGGTATACTTTAATCAATGATTCTGCACTGAGAAATTTAAGGTTGGGCTGGAAAATGTTCACAAACGTAAAGCAATTTAAGAAGAAGAAAAGTGCCTACTTGGTTTTCTCCTTTGCCTGTAGCAGAGAACAGTGCAGACGGAGAGCAGCAAGAGCAGCAGAAGGGCAGAGAGTGCGGAAGTCAGGCCCACCAGGACAGTGCAGTCATCACCATCTTCCACAAACACCTCTGCAACTGGGAACACAATGTCACATCAGTTTTACAGCACAAACATACTGAAGCTGCACCTATAGGCTGAACGACAATTCTAAATATGAAAAATAAATAATAATAAAAAGAATTATCTTTATGCTTGAAGGTATTCGGCTATTGGATAACTATGATGTTCTAACAAGTTTGCCTCTTTTATTTTTTTATTTTTTGCACAGGTTTTTAATCAATGCATTGCCACAATGCAAAGTCATGCATTGCTGATCTTGCAGCCTTGCTTCTTCTGCTCTTCTCTTCCATAAAGCAGCATATCTTGGAGAAACGCATATTTTTTAGAAGACACACACTTTATTATCAATGTTTATCAATGAAAGTCTGTTCTGCCATTATCTAAAAAAGTTAAATCTGGTCCTCTGGACATTCAAAAAAACAAAACAAAGCAAATCAACAAAAAAATGTAGAAACGTTTCGTCTCTCATCCGAGAGACTTCCTCAGTCTGAGGAGCTGTATTCAGCTCAGTCTCTTAAATAGCACCTTCTCAGAGTGGATCAACCAGTTTTGCCGCTGACAACCAAAACCAGCTGATCACATGCTCAAGAAGGACCATCAGCCTAACAATGGATCATTAGCACACTGATGGCTTTTTACTGTTCACAGAGGGCTGAGTGATACTAGCAATCACAGCATTGTAAGAGGGGGACAGTTGAACCCGGAGGCCTCCACCCCTGTTTAACGATGGACGATTTCTTTTCACAAAGATGGCCTCCTTTACTCCTCTCTCAAACCATCGTTCCTCTCTGTCCAGGATGTGAACATCTTCATCCCTGAAAGAGTGACCACTGGCCTGGAGATGAGTGTAGACCGCAGAGTGCTGGCCTGATGATGTTGATCTTCTGTGCTGGGCCATCCTTTTGGCCAGTGGCTGTTTTGTTTCCCGATGTAAGACTGATCACAGCCCTCCTGACACTGAACAGCATACACAATATTACTCTGTTTGTGCCGGGGGACTGGATCTTTGGGATGAACCAGTCTTTGCCGTAATGTATTTTGGGGTTTAAAAGCCACTGGGACGTTATGTTTAGAAAATAAACGTAAAATAGACGTTTATTTTCTAAACATAACGTCCCATTACTAACTACCGTATTTTCCGCCGTACAAGTCGCTCCACTATATAATATATATTAAAAAAAATATATATATATATATATATAGCTGTCCACTTACTACTACCTGGTGGTGAGTTGGCTCCAATGGTGGGGGAGGATGCCGGTCAGACCTGGCAGACCCAAATGTATTGTGAGGGTCTGCTGGGAACGTCTGGCAGAGTCTCCTGTGAGATGGAGCTCCAACTCCCACTCCCGGGAGATCTTTGAACATGTTCCGGGGGAGGTGGGGGACATTGCGTCTGAGTGAGCTATGTTCCATGCCTCTATTGTCGAGGCAGCTTATCAGAGCTGTGGCCGCAGTGGGAGGAGTTTGGAGAGGCCCCGGAGAATGACTTCCGTATGGTTTTGAGGTGATTCTGGTCCACCATCCGGCATCTCAGGGGGCAAAGCGGTACGCCACCAACACTATTTATATTGGAGGTGGTGTGCTGCTGACCTCAACTCGGAATGTCATGGGTCGGTGGGCAGAATACTTCAAAGACCTCCTCAATCCCACTGGCACGTCTTCCACTGAGGAAGCAGAGCCTGGGGACTTTGGGTTGGCTCTCCAATCGCTAGTGCTGAGGTCACTGAGGTGGTTAAAAAGCTCCTTAGTGGCAGGGCCCCAGGGGTGGATGTAATTTGCCCGGAGTTCTTTAAGGCTCTGGATGTTGTGGGGTCTTACATGACCCTGCAATATTGGGTGGACATCGGGGGCAGTTCCCCATGATTGGCAAACTGGAGTGGTGTTCCCCTATTCAAAAAGGGGGACCGTAGAGTGTGTCTATTCGGGAGTTCTGGGGAGGAGGGTCCATCGGATAGTCGAACCTTGGATTCAGGAGGAACAGTGCAGTTTTTGTCCTGGTCATGGAACACTGGACCAGCTCTACCCCCTCAGCAGGGTCCTGGGGGGTGCGTGAGAGTTTGCCAAACCAGTCTACATGTGCTTTGTGGACTTGGAGAAGGCATTTGACCACGTCCCTCGGGGATCCCTGTGGGGGTACTCTAGGAGTATGGGGTACCAGGCCCTTTGATACGGGCTGTTAGGTCTCTAAACGACTGGTGTCAGAGCTTGGTCCGCAATGCCGGCAGTAAGTCGGGCTCGTTCCCAGTGAGAGTTGGACTCCACCAAGGTTGCCCTTTGTCACAAATTCTGTTCATAACTTTTATGGACAGAATTTCTAGGTGCAGCCAAGGTGATGAGGGGATCCATTTTGGTGGCCTTAAGATTGCTTCTCTGTTTTTTGCAGATGATGTGGTCCTATTGGCTTCTTCAGGTTGTGATCTACAGCTTTTGCTGGAGCGGTTTGCAGCCGAGTGTGACATGGCCGGGATGAGGATCAATTCCTCCAAATGCGAGGCCATGGTCTTGAGCTGGAAAAGGGTAGGGTGTCCTCTCTGTGTCGGGGAGGAGGTCCTGCCCCAAGTGGAGGAGTTTAAGTATCTCGGGGTCTTGTTCATGAATGAGGGAGAAATGGAGTGTGAGATTGATAGGCAGGTGTAGCATCGGCAGTGAAGCGGGCGCTGTACCGGTCTGTCGTGGTGAAGAGAGAGCTGAGTCAAAAGGCGAAGCTCTCAATTTACCGGTTGATCTATGTTCCTACCCCTCAGTTAGGATGCCTCCTGGACGCCTCCCTAGTGAGATGTTCCAGGCACGTCCCACCAGGAGGAGACCCAGAGGAAGACCCAGGACACACTGGAGGGACTATGTTTCTCGGCTGGCCTGGGAATGCCTTGGGATTCCCCCGGAGGAGCTGGCCCAAGTGTCTGGGGAGAGGGAAATCTGGGCCACCCTACTTAGGCTGCTACCCCCGTGACCCGACCCCAGATAAGCGGAAGAGAATGGATGGATGGATGGATTTTTCCTTAATCTAGCATATTCAACGGCGATCAGTGCGACCCGGAAATATTCCTTTTAACATATGCGCAAATGAGCTACACTACAGATCAGCTTCTGTAACAGATAGAGGCATAACACGGGCAGTGGAGGAAAGCTGTAGAGCTTGCAGTCTGAGCCACGATGGATGGACGGACAGACAGACGGACGGACGGACGGACGGATGGATGGACGGACGGATGGATGGATGGATGGATGGATGGATGGATGGATGGACGGACGGAGGGGCGGACGAATGGACGGACGGATGGTGCACCGCCATGGAGGAAATGCACTGAGTGGGAGCCAGCCAGACAAGGGGGGAATGTTCCCCGCGAGGGCGGATCGTCTGCCACCATGCGGTCGTCCCTTCTGCCGGCTTAAATCCCTTGAGCAGACTGCATGGACCTGACCCGTTCACAAACTTTCTTTCTGCTACTCGATTACCGTTTGGGGCTGCATATTTATTACCTGCAGTTGTAATCTGCAAAATAGGATTTACTGTTTGGGGGGCATTTTACTTGTGTTAAGATTTTCTCAGTTGTCTCTGTGAACGTTTGTGTGTGTGTGTGGGGGGGGGGGGGGGGGGTAGAGGAACAACATATAAAAGCCTAGAGGGCCCTCTAGTGGCTGCAACTGGTAATGTTTACTGGTTTATGTCTATTAATTAACATTTCAAGCATCAGTCAAAAATTGCATTGTAAATATGGAAAAAAAAAAAAAGAATATTAGTTGCGTCGGTGTAGAAGTCAGGACTTGCAAATTTATGCAAAATGGTGCAACTTGTACTGTATGCCAGAAAATATGGTAATCTAAAGCTTTTTTTAATTGTTGTTTTCATTTACCCTTCATTTATACAAGTAATCTCATTGGATCATGAGAACTCATTTTCAAGAGAGACCTGTTTTTGGGAGCATTTAATTTCCAATAATGACTTGCTCAGAATCTCATAGTGATTTAGGATTTAAAAAGGTGTTTAAGAGTAAATATTCTGTAGCCAGGCCATGCAAAGTTTTATAAACATACAGAATAAAAATAAAATCATTTTTTTATTTAACAGTAATCCAGTGAAGAGATGCTAACACGGAGTTGAAGCTGTTTTTGTGTTGCTAAGGTTAATGAACTGTGGTGGCCATGATAAATCTGGTCAATTCCAAAATGTATTCAGTTTTAAATGTACATGATATCCAATAATCCCTTTCTAAAAGTTTAATTTAAATCCATCTTGTTGTTGATGTTGATTTTGCTTACAGTCAGACAAAGTTATTGTTTTCAACAAAAACTTCTTGTGATCAGTTAGTGCACAAAGTATGTTGGTAATGACTTTTAGCTACTTTCCCACCATGTTTTATCTAAATATTTCTACAGTTTGGACAGTTCCAACCATTTATGTGTTGGCTGAGGTCAAGTAGCTGCAGTGGCCATCTTGAGTCAGGTTGACTCGAAAGTTAATCAGCTGTAGATGCACATTAAATGATAAATATCTGAGAGTTTTGTTGTAATTAGTTCAGTGGTTCATGAAATATTTTGCTAACAGACAGACAAATGAACAGACACAGGCAAATACATGATCACCTACCAATGTGGTGTGATCATTTACATTTTTCAAAAGAGAAAGGAATTTTGGAAAAAATGGCATGGCTCAATAGCTAATAATGTATATACATATAGTTTGCATGGATACATGTTGTATGTTTATTTGTTTGTTTTGATTGAATTTAATTCACTTTGCATAAGTTTTTATCCAAAGCACATTGTAGAGCATAGTGCCAAATAAGAAGCTGAACCTCTTGAGGATGAAACCAAAGTTCAGCTCCTGGTGACAAAATATTAATTCCTGGTTGGTCTCACCCACTGTTAGAGAGACGCTGCTCTGCAGAGGGGTGTTCAGGGCAGACACGGAGGCCAGACAGTCCACTCGAGAGCTCCTCTCAGCCGTAACGCTGAGGTTACTGGACACCGTGAAGAGCCTCTTCTCCACCTCGGCTGTGCTGATGTATTCATCTGGGCTCACCTCATCCCCATCACCCAAAGAGAGACAGACTATAGCCAAATACTCTTTAACAAAGTTTAAAGACTTTAATACAAATGTTCAACGCAGAAGCAAATATGATATTAAATGTAGAAGGTTTTGCCTTTTGCAAACGACAGATGAATTTCACTCACGTCGTACTATTCAGTTTCATATTTTACTCAATGACATTAAAATTAAGTACCTACACTCAAACCATGAATGAATATTTAAAATGTGGAAAAAAAGCACGTAGTTTGATTTTTGCAGATGAAGCAAGTACATTGTAATTTACCGATAATATGTGGAGTTAGTTGACATAATCTTGTAGAGCTGATAGAAAAAGTGTATTAGGACTGAGTCTGATTCAGTTTAATTGGGTGGAACAAACTGATTTAATTTGACACAAGCTTTTTATGTGGTTAAATTACGGTAGTTTATATTCAGACTATGAGTTACAGTAGATGTTTCAGTGAACAAAAAAAAATTGTGCAGTTTGAACAAGTTTTGTTTGTGTTTGTGTCAATTTTTGTTAAACAACTAAAAGCATTTCTAACAGAGAAAACAAGACATCTGAAAGTAAACATACTATTCCTTTTACCAGTGATTTAAAGTTATTTCAGCACCCAGATAAATTAAGAACAATTAAAAATAAGACTATCTGGACTTCACATGTTACTTACCCATAAGCTGCTGTGTTTATACCCATCTGCTCACAACAGGCTCATGTTCAGGCTGCTGTTTAATACACCATATTATATTATTAGTGTTTAGCATATATCTTAGATCCTTGTATACCGTTTTCTTTTATTCTACTTTATATTTTTGCTATTTTTGGGTGTAACTGGGACCTTGAGTACTCAGTTTCGTTCCACCTCATGTACCACATGTGATGTGAATGACAATAAAGAACCTTGTACTTTGAAATGCTGTAACCAGAAGGAAATTATTATGTTTGAATGGGACATTTTTGTCATTCAACACTGATTGGGTTTGTTTTTTTTAACTTCTTTCATGTTGTGATTTAAAAATATGTGCAGACTTTCCATAAATGAGTAATGATAAAACACGGTCAAGAAGTATTTTTGTTCATTTGTTCTTCTTTCTTCATATCCCTTCAGATAATTTTCACATTTGTTTCTTATTTGCAGGCATGAAGAGCTTGAGATAGTTCAGAGTGAGAGATGTGGGTATATATTATGTCCAATAATGTCCCGTACCCATCATTGCACCCTGTATTCACTGGTTAACTGGTTATCATTAACTTCATGCAGACTCTCTCACTGGTACATTTTCATCTTTAAATCACTTCTTGATCTGCTGCCTTCATACATCTCCTACATGTCACTGTGTTAGTGCAGCTACAGCGTGCGCTCTCAGGACAATGTTCCCTCAGTGAGGACTGAACTAGACTTCTCCTTCTCCTACTCTGCTCCTGTTTACTGGAATATCTTGTAAAAAGATCTGAAGCTCTCAATCTTGACCTCCCTAAGTGGCTTCAAACATCAGCTAAGTTCATGTGAAAAAGCAATGCCGTTTTCTACATCACTTTACAATCTAGCTGTTTTTGTTTCGTTTTATTAATACCATTTTCCTTCATTTGTCCTTCTCACTTTGTATGCTCTCTTTTATGATTGTCTACTGTTGTCATCACTTTGTTCAAATCAGGTCTCCCTTGTAAATGAGTCATCGAGACTCAATGGGACTAACCTGTATAAATAAAGGTTGAATGAATAATGAAGTAAGAGTGCTCTGAACATGTGTTTAGAAGAGCTCGGAGCTACCACCTCACCAAATGTTATCTCAGTACCTGTACAATTGACTGAGTCTTAAGTTTTTTTGTGTTTGCTGAGGTTGATTAGCTGTGGTAGTCATCTTCCATCAGGCTGACTTCAAAAGTTAATTAGTTGTACATGTACATTCAGTAAATATTTTCTCAGAGTTTAATAAAAATCTGTCCATTGGTATATTTCCGTATTGCTCACAAACAAATGCACACAGAGAGGCAATCACCTCCCTTTCATGGCTGAGGGCAACAGTAAGCTGCATGTGCAGGAATAAAGTTGAGTTTTGTCTCTTTTCAGGATGCAACACTCACTCCAGTAAATAATATCGAGCTAACTGTCATGATCTGTGTTGTTCTGTCGTCTAGTAGTTCCTTAAGTTTAATTTTAGATGTACAGCATTCCCTTTGTGGCTTATGCGTTTTGGAAACTTCCTGTTTGAGTTCTGTTGCTTGACTTATGGTATAAATATTTATATAAATATTTATATAAATATTTATATAAATATTTATGGTATATATATTTATCGGTTAATCGGTTACCAGTTCAGTTCTCAGTCAGTTTCCGGCTCCTGCCCCACCCACTGTCACCTGACCCTTGTTCCCCGCCCCCCAGGTGTTTGCCATTCTCCCTCATTAGTGTTCCTTTACATTTTGTCTTTCTGTTATTTCCTCATTGGTGCATTGTGTGTTCTTTTGCCAGTCCTGTTTGTGCCCTCGTGTTCCCTGAGTTTCTCTGTTTGTAAGTACTTCGGCTGCCACGTCAGAATTTTGGGTTCTGTTATAAAATTAGTTTTCCTTTTTACCTCTGACCCTTTTGGAGTTTTTGTCTGAACTTTGGGTTCTAATTTCCACAAATACAGTGTAACACGCTGTTAAGGGAATGTGTATAATTTGCACTCACCATGCTCCATAATTTTACTATTTACTATTTAAAACTCGGGGTGACCTTTCCATTCAGGCCGTAGCCCCCCGGCTGTGGAATACCCTGCCCCTGTCTCTTTGTGTGACCATCTCTGTTGATTCTTTTAAAACGCAGCTTAAGACACTTTTATTCAGGCAAGCTTTTAGTTAAATGTTTATTTACTGTTTTTATCAGCTGTTCTTGTTTTTATCAGCTCTTTTTACAGTTTTTATTAATTAGCTGTTGTTATTTTTGTTCTATTTTAAGCTTTTATTTTGTATTTTTGTACAGCACTTTGTGATTGTATCTATGATAAGTGCTATATAAATAAAGTTTACTTACTTACTTACTATGATTAATGTATTTATGCACTGCTTTTTTACTGTATTAAATGAAGTAAATTATATTAAAATGTTCCATGATCCTTACTCTATGTAATAATCAGTTTTCATGTTACCGGTCAGTAAAGGGACAGCAAGAGATAATTCTATTATCTTCAAGGTGATTGATATGATTACAGTGACGTGGTTCCAGAGGCCTTGAGAGCTGTCTGGCTCCCAGATTTCTCCCTGCTTCTGACTGCAGCTAGGTTCTGATAAAGTGGATGGTGCAGGGAGGGGCTGGGGGCTGGCAGCTGGATATTTCTATAAAAGTGATTTTTTATTTTTATTTTTTTTTCTGTTCAGGAAGTCAGAATGGGTCAGAGCCTTAGACAGGTGAAAGCACTGATAAGTGTGTGCTTGTAAATGCATTGATCTTCTGGGATTGCTGTTCTCCAAAGCTTTGTAATAAATCTGATGAAGCCTACACCTAGTTGTTTTGGGAATCCCTTTTTTTCCATGACATCTTTCTTTGATAACTCTTAAAACAGCAAAAGTTAATACATAAAACAGCATGCATCCGAATGAGCTGCAGCAGATAATTTTATTATTAATCTTGTGTTCCGTATGATATCTAAAATCTTGTTTCACTAATGTTTTAGCCTCAAATATATAGTTATTGTATTTATATTGTCCACATGAAAAAATGCAGATATGTTTCTTTAATTGATTGCTCAAGTCTACATTAAAGAAGAGATAATGTTTAGTCTAAAGGTAAACAGTGAATGTGCCTTTTAATCTTGGTTTTACATCACATGCATGACCTTGCACACCACATTTTCCAAATTTCATGCAGATGTTGTCATTAGATTTTTGTGAATATTTTTATGAGATTGGGGTTTGGCTTGTCAGCTTAGCAGGCTAAGATCCACCAAACCATACCCAGACCCACTTACACCAATTGCTTTTTTTTTTTCCTCTGGCAAATCCCAGAGAAATATGTTCTTGATGGAAAAATTGTATATTAAAATTGTATATTACTAGTTGTTTTTTCTATTACCAGTGTGATTTTCTTAAAAGTTAAATATTAAACTGTTAAACCTTTTATAACAGTTCAGTGTTGCCTTGTGCCTTTCTCCCATGGAGGCTGTTGTGTGTGTTTGTGTGAATAGAGAGATAAGCTTTAGGTTTTTTTTGTTTTTTTAGAACGCAGAGTAAAGCAGACTGCAAACAAGAGAGGGTCTTCCTTTTCAAGCACTGAGAAAACATAAATAACTGTATCCTTGTATTGATTTCCAGAGGAATCGCTCATCCTTGATGCACGAGTGATTCTCCCTCCTTGCAAGTATCTTTAAGTAAAGCTTCGTCTATCTTTATGATTTGACTCCGTCTCGTGATTTAAGATTTTTCTAACAGCTCTACATTAATTATTCAATCAACACCTTCCATTAAAACACACACACACAATAACCTTAAGCAAAAAGCTTATAGTGGCACAAATAAATACAGGAAAAGCATAAAGGCATTGTTATAACTTTTAATATGGGATACTTGTGTCCATATTTTTATTAAAGCTAAATCTATTTGATTCTTCCTTTCCATTTGAGTAATCAGTGTGTAGCATAATCTAGAAAAAGGGGTTTAAGTGGGATGAATTTACTGTTAGAAAATAATTACTAGCAAATACAAAATAGAATGGATGATCAATCAAATCAGCTTTTCTGCTTCACTCTGAAAGCAGTGCCGTCGTCACGGCGACACACCACTATTTCCTAACTGGGTCAGGAGGACCCGCTTACAGAACAAAAAACAGGAAGTGGTTCAAGTAAAAATTAAAATGCAAAAACATTGCTGTGTTTACCATTTTGTTGTGAACCTGCCATTGCAGAAGAGGTTGAGGGTACCATCCTGCTGCTTCACACTGAAACAGAACTGAGTCCCCCTTAAAGGCAAACCTCTTATCTCCAAAGAGTTGCACGCTTCCTTTTTCTGCAATTGCAAAAAATAAAATAAATAAATACATTATTGTTCACGACTTGAATAAATGCCAAATTTTCCTATTTTTATGTCCATGTACATGTGCAATTATAATTCACATATAGGAGCACAAGTGAAATTATGGGTATTGATAAAATGGCCCATGCACCCAATCCTTATGATCCAAATGGCGAGCCCAAAGGAATTCAAACTCATGTTGTGTAGAGGGGCTGAGCCCGATTAGACCCCATGGGTAGAGGCCCAGTCACCAGGTGATCAAAGCTACAGTTGCTCCTCTGGTGCAGCTTGGAGCACTTCTGATGGGGAAGATATAGTATTTCACTGCAGTAGAATATTTAAGAAGTCATATTTGCTTGAATTCAGTTTGGTTTTGGCCTGGCTCTCACTAACTGTTTGTTCAGCAAATAATCAAGTTGCAATAAAACTACATTCCTACAAACTGAAATCCTTCAAAGTGTTATCTAAAACACGTAGGATATTAAATTATCATAATCTTAAAACTGAATCACGCTTCAAAAGATCTGAATTATTCCTTTAGAAATTTTTGAAGTCTAAATATTAAGATGTGCTCACATCCACTCTATACAATCCACTCTTCTCTTTCCTGATCACTGGCAAAATATGAATTTCAGAGTTCATTGATCGGGACTCTGAGGGTGTTTTCACACCTGATAGTCCGGTAGACTCGGTTTGATTGGGGACCAATATTCATAACATTTTGTTTACATTTTCAGCTGGTGCAGTTCACATTCACACTGCACTGAGTCAATCGAGCCAACTTTTTCCCCCCTCGCCTGTGGTGGTGCTGCACCAAGAACTACTGAAGGAAATGACACAAAAACCTCTGAAGAAGACACTTCTTCTTCTTCTTCTTCTAGAAATAAAAACAAAAACAGAGTGGCGTCAAATTTTTAGCAATTTTAGGATTTCTGTTTTGTCTGTGGCCCATGTGCCAAACAAACATTTTTCAACAATGGACTCAGCACGAGTGGAAGATGAGGCAGAAAACCATGGAGAATGTTGCTTTTCACACAAGGCAGCTGACGGCTCCGTACGAGGTAAAAGAAATGTGCCTTTGTTTGTCCTGCGCTGTAGTCTACTTCTTGGAGCGATCTCCGGTCCGCTTGCATTCACACTGCATTCAAACCGTGCTAGAGTTCACTTCAACTGGACCAAGACCTATGTTTTTAACAGACCAGAGTTTGCTTTTTTTGGTCCGTATCAGAGTTCGATTGCACATTCACACCTCTCCAAACGAACCGGACTTTCTAGGCAAATGGACTAGAGTTTGATTAAAGCGGACTAAACAGGGCTGGTGTGAATGCACCGTGAGTTTCAACTGCCTGATGACTGCAGGACCCTTTTTCCTTCTTCCTCTGCTTACCTGTGTGACAAACCAGCGACTCAAGGCCCAGAGAGATACAATATCTCTGTGAAGTCAATTGTCTGGCTAAATGAAAGGCTGCAAAAGGCAACAGACAGTTCTTATAGGGGGCTGAGATGGGGTAGAGGCAGGGCAGCCGACCTGGAACCAGAAAGCCCCAGGCTCCATCCCCAGAAAATCCCATATGTTGTGGTGTCTCTGAGCAAGACACCCAAACCCTAAATGCTCCCCAGGTGCCCACATAGCTGCCCACTGCGCCACCTGGGTGCATCCCAGGTGTGATGGGTTAAATACAGAGAGCTAATTTAATCATTGTATGGAAACATACAATGATGACAATCTGACTTCCCTCATAGACAGAAAGATAATGGGAGAAGCTTTGATGCTTTATCCAAGTCAATGACTCATAAGTCTGCTATACATTACAGGCTGTCATTTTTCTCCAAGCTGTTTCGTTTGATGGCTAATGTTATGTCATAAATGACATACCAACCTATTTTTAGAGTAAGATGGAGGAAGTTGAGCTTTAAGTTAAACCTCAGCAACAGTAAATAAAGGATGGCTGAGAACAAGCAGCCTCGTAGGCACTCAGATGGACGTCTCAGCTTTGGATGGTCACTGCTGATCAAGACGTTATTAGAGAAAGTGATTCTTGGAAGAGGGTTTTTTAATTTTTTGGGAATCAGTCTGAGGAATCTGGTGGTGGGCTATGTGAAGAAAATTTCCCTTGGCAAATTCTAATTTAAGAGATTTTTCAGCATCCTCAGAGGCCAAACTGCTTCTTCAAGACAGCAGCTATAAAGATATAAAAGTAGAAAACAGTGTGCGCGTGCAATTTATGCTCCCAGTATGAGTGTGTTCCAATGTGTATATCAGTTTTACATCTGCAAGACAAATTACCTCGGGGAGATTCTATCTTTTGTGATTTTTATCAGCCTTCTCCCCCAGCTTCTGCCTTCACTACACCCTGTTTGTAGTCAACAGCAAATGCAAACCACATAGATTTGCTCAAGAAACTCTGTTTATGCACTGCATTTGTGACTGAGTAAGTAAGCAGACACAGCGGCTGGTCATTTTTACATAATCTTCATGCCAGACAATTAAAGCAACGACTTGGATAAAAGTGCACAGAGTACGGCTAAGCATGGCTGTAAATTTGTTGCTCTGCTCCAACTGTATTCGAAGCTGCAGGACACAAATCACAAGCAGAGTTGCTGACGTTTTGCTTGGCGTGCCAGCATGCACAATTAATTTAAAGACTGTGTCAAACCATAGTGATCTTCTGTACCCAGACTGGAGGGCCTGATTCACCATACACTACTATTAATGGCTGCATATGTCAGTGAGGATTTGTGCGACTGATGGCAATGGAGGGGCTCGCCTCAACATACTGGAAGCAGTGGGTCATTGGTTTTGTTTCTTGACACTGTGCAGGAAATGCGCCCATGGTGATTTTTTTTCCTTTTTCTTTTCTGAGCACTCAATTTAAGTGAAGTTACTGCAAATGCTAAAAGGCTAAAAGATAAGAGCACAGATCTAAACAAAAAGTGCAGACTCTGCTGAGTTGCCATTGGACACCCTCCATTGTGTGTCAGCAGCAGAGTCGTCAGTGGGTTGTCTCTTAAAAGTTCAGCTTCTCACAAAAAAATAAATTGTCAATGTCAGAACAAGTTCTTAAATATGTATGGTCAAATGCTAAGGAAAGAGATAAAATAAAATTAAATAATAACCTGACCTGTGACATACACCTGAACACAAAGGTTTAAATTACATACTCTTACAAACTCATCTGTAGTAGTGATTTGAAGATTCACCAATTTGTACCAATATGACATTCACAATGCATGTGCATCCGTACTGTACTCATTGGTCAGTTGATCATTTTGTATTTCATTCAGCCTTTATTTATACAGGTTAGTTCCCATTGAACCTCAATGACTCATTTACAAGAGAGACCTGTTAGACACAGACATACAAAGTAGATGAGAAAAAGAGAACACAAGAGGGTGGAGGAGGTAAAAAAAAAATCATATATCACACCTTTTCTTGGCCGGGGCACAGTGTTACAAAAAAAGACCTTGCAACATCAACAGCAACATACAGTACAATGACATCATAATACATTTATGCATGAGGAATTCAACAAAGGCGGTGAGTTTTCCATGGACACTGCCAGAAAGTTCCATAGTTCAGGTAAGATGGTACAGTGACTATCAGCAGCTCAGTTCTGATAAGGCCCACAGATGTCCTCGGGAGAGGGGGGGAAGGAGGAGGGGAGGAGCAGCAGAGCATCATTATTCACAAAACCTCTGGGAGAAATTTGAGATAGCTGGTCTATTCAAGGCCAAGTGGGGAAGCCAGATTTGATAACAACATTGGTTTTGGGACAGGCAGACTCTGCTTGATTTTTTATGTCTGCCTTCAAAAGTTCTACTGGTATTCTTATACTTCTCACTGGCAAATCCAAACAGCCAGATTTGTGATCATTCTGCCGGGCCGTGCTTGTAGTTTTCCCAAGGTCAAATCCTTCACGCCAACGAGTTCCAGAAGCCGCAAGTGGCCTGCGATTCTCAAAAATTGCATCCAGCTTACGGCTTAGCTTGAAATGCATCTGAGTCTGGGCGCTCGAAGCACAGCACATTCCTTCACACATGGCAGGCAGCTTCAAAAATACCAGATCCGCTGCCGACGTCTTCCAAATTTGTTGATAAGCCAGAAACCTGCTGATTCTAAAAAGCAGAAATCCTGCTATCATAAATCCAATTATATATGTGCCTTATACGACTGCAACGGACAGTACAGAGAGACACACCATCTTCTACTGGCCCCAGGAATCCATGGTGTATCCCGAAATAAATGTCCCTTCAGGGCATGAGGGCTCTCCTTCACCCTGTCTTCTCGTCAATGACAGAAGACAGGAGAAAGGAGTTGAAGCAACAGCCTGCTTGATAAAGGGGAGATGAGGAAGGTGAAGAGTGCAGGGGTTGATCAAATCAATCCCCCACACCAGAAGTTGGTGGAACTGCCTCTTTAGACACCAGGATTCGGACAGAGAAAATGACTACCACGAAAAACCAATGCACCACACCTAATGATATTCACAAAGTTACTGAGAAGTTAGACTAACCTAGCAACAGGCTGTGGCTGTCGGGATTAAACGTATTTAAAGAAGTCAGGATGAAATAACAGCTGTAAGGGATGAATTTTGTCCTGTCTTAGTTAAACACTGATTCAATGACTTTTAGATACAATATGCAGAGTCTGTTCAGAAAAGTCAATTTTTATAAAAAAGAAGAAAAAGTTTAAACATTAACTTTGATTCACATTAGATATTTGTCTTCATATTTCTCCTCCTACATGTCACGTCGTTAGTGCAGCTACAGTGTGCACTCTCAAGACATCATTACCTGCAGTGTACCCTCATTGCGGACTACATTTAGCAAAAGGGCCTTCTCCTACCTTGCTCCTGAAACACCTTGAAAAAATATCTGAAGTTGTCGACTCTGACCTCTGTAAGGGATTTTAAACAGTCCTGGTGACTCAGTGAGACTAACTTGTAGAAATAAAGGTTGAATGAAGAAAAAATCAGTAGAGCAAGTGTGCATTG